CCCTTGAAGGATAAAATTTTTGGTAGCTCATTCTCCCTTTCCCAGAGTCCTGCTGGGCTTCTATTTACAAGTGTTTTCTCTCAAGCTCTTTAGTCACCTTGCAGGCCTCATTGCCTAAAAGATTTTATTGATTTATATCCTTGGTCAATACTCCTTCTGGGATTACCTTAGGGATAGAAGCCATACCATATTGTCTTTAGCATCAGGATCTTTGTTTTGTTTTCTCCCTTCACATTAATACCATAAGTTCCTCTTTTTTAGTTAGTTGCTGGTGGTGAATTTAGAACATTCAAAAAACTCACTTTTGTTCATTGAATTAGGAATTGATTTTGTGTTTATATTTGCCTCTGCTATTTTAATTCATTCATCTTGGTGTACTCTTTATATAGCTGTTTCATATGTTTGCTCTTCATAAAAGCAAGCTTAGAAAAGACCAGCTGGAAGCAGGTGGCCATAATATATCTTCAGCTGGGTTTCAGATAATATTAGGAAATAGGCGCGATAATGGTATTGTGGTAATGTTTAAGAAAGTCCTTTTTCCTATGAGACCTATACTTTTTTTTTTTTTATTTTTTGTTATAGGACGTGTGTGCCTGCCAGAGAGAGAGACAGAGGGAAAGTGAAAAATCACTCCTTGGAGGGGGGTGGCCATGCTACAGTCCCTGTCCCTCTGTTCTCCTCTCAGGATTTTGGACACACATGCACACATGCCCAGTGTGATTTCAAGCGGCCGGGTTTGGGCCATGTGGTAGTCTAGCACCATAATCACTATAAAACCTGCAGGATGAAATGAAATATGTCTAACATTAATTAGATACTAACATTAAATAGATTCTCAGCTTCTTAAAGTTTTTAAATACTTCAATAATTTTTAAAATAGTTATGAATTCTTAAGGTCATAAATAAGTCATCCACTAGTTTTTGATGGTTTGTTTTAAAATATGAATATACTTTAATCTTTTTTTTCTTTGAATATTAGATACTGCTTTAAATTAGCAGCTTTGTTTCTCTTAAGAGCATATTAGTTGAAATTTCATTGTTTACTGCTTAGTGATAATCACATGGTTCTCCCTTATTGCTGAAATTTATGTTATAAATTAGTAACACAAATGAACATTTTTATGACAACAGTTTTTACTTCTTGGGTTTTGTGAGTTAGATGTGTATCTCCATTTTAAATAGAAATAAATTTTATAAAAATATTTTAAACAAGGTCTAGTAGGTAGGGTGGTGGTTAAGGTGCTGGACTCCCACATGGCCAGCCATGATTTGGGGTCCTACACCAGGTTTACTTTCTTACTTTCTCTCTCTCTCTGATGAGTGCATATGCCCTATAGCAAATTAAAAAAAAATAATAAAATTAAATAGTTCTGAAAAAGTACATTACTTTTGAAAAATATATTTTCAACAATGAAAACTTTTTATTATGTTTTATATTTTTTGTCTTTTAAAATATTCTTTTGTAGTTAATTGTACATCTTTTTTTAAAAAATATTTTTGCTGTTGAGCATGTGTGCTCACTGTAGAGAGACGGAGAGGGAAGGAAAGTGAGAAAATACCCCCCCTACCCCCAGAGAGTATGGGCATGCTGCAGTTTCTTCTACTCCATTCTTTTCTCAGGATTTTGGGCACCCATATATGTACCTGGTGTGGGTTTTTTTTTTTTTTTTCCAAACCACTGGATCCAGGACTCAAACTGTAGAGTCAGCCGTAGGGAACCTAGTGCCTTAACCACCACGCCACCTGCTGGCACGGTTGTACATCTTTGTGTCAGATATGGATTTTCAAAGCATTCATGCAGTGTGTAGTAATCAAAGATATTACCAAAAGAATGCCATATTATGTGCACCCTATGTACCCTCAATTTTTGCTCTATTAGTTTTTCTTTATATATATACTGGGTCGTCGGAAAAGTCATGACACATATTTGCATAAACATGAAAAAATGTCATGACTTTTCTAATGACCTAGTATATAAAGAAAACATATATTCCATGTCTCTTTTTTAACTTCATTGTGATGTGCTCTTCTATAACCTATTTGCCCTGTATATATGCATTTAAATGCTAACAGTTCTTGTTTTTTGTAAGTGCTATATAGATACTGCTATTATTGGGACCATTCGTTAAGCTTCCTGATGTATTTCTGCTCTACTTCTACTGTTATAATAGGTCTTATGTAGGGATGGTGTAATGATTATATTGCTAGACTCTCATGTGCTTGACTGTGATTCGAGTCTGGACCTGGCAGCTTAAAACTCACACCAGACATGTGTGCATGCATGCTCAAAATCCCAAGAGGAGAATGGAGAAGAAGAGATTGCAGCATGGCCATCTTCCTGGGGGAGTTATTTTTCACTTTCTCTCTGTCTTTGTCTTTCCTGCGAGCACATGCCCTATAGCAAAAACGTCTCAAAAAATAGTAAAATAATGTATCTTAGATAGAGCCAATGAGGATCCATAGAGTTAGAGACCAAGTGTAATCTAAAACACTTTGTTACTTTATGAGCCTGATCAGAGAAAAACTATTAGAATGTTTATATGTATACTTTTCATAATGCCTATAATAATTGATTTGAGGTATGATCACCTTATCTAATATCTTTATGTGGCAGTTCTACTCAAGGTGTACAATCACAGTTAAGAAATTAGAAATTGGACCTTAATTAGTATTCTTCCATTAGGTATACTTTTTAGCTAAGAGAGGTATATGAATATATAAGGTTAAGCATATACTATTATTAGATAAATGTAACTCTATGTACAAACAGTATGTAACTTCTTTCCTCTAAAAAAAATTGTAAGAGGTTGTGTGTGCTCACCAGAGAGAGAGAAATCACCCCTTAGTGTAGGGTGTAGTCATGTTGCAGTCCTTTCTTATCCATTTCTCCATCTCATTGGGATTTTCGGAATTTTGGAATGTATACACATATGCCTAGCATGTTTTTCAAGCTGTGGAGGCTGGGATTTGAAATATATAGTCAGCCATGTGGGATCTGGCTCCCTTAACCACTATACCATGAGGCTGGCCCATCTTAATTTATTTTTGTTTTGCTCTTGCTAGCTTTTTTTTCTTTTTTCTTTTTTTTTTTAAATAGAGGATTTTGCTATAGGGCTCATATGCTCACCAGAAAGACAGAGAGACAGAAAGCGAGAAATCACCCCCTCAGGGGGGGATGGCCACACTGCAATTCCTTCTCCTTCATTCTCCTCTTGGGATCTTGGGCGGGCATGCACATATCTGCACCTGGCATGAGTTTAAGCTGCCGGATCTGGGACTCGAACCGCGGCCGACTACGGGAGTCTAGTGACGAAACCATTATGCCATCTGCTAGTCCCTTTACTAGCTTTTGATAGGAAGATGTCTCTGCTTTTCTTGATGATTTAATTTTGCGTCCTGTATTTCTTTGTTTCAAATTTTCCTGCCTAAAAATACAGAAGATTGAAGTTGACATATGGACATTAGAAATTGATGGGTTACCTACTATGAGAATTAGGATGGCTTAATAGCTAAGAAAATGTTTTATTTCTATTGAAAAAACTGCGTAACTTTATGAGGTTTATTTAAATCATAGTTTCTTAGGAAAGAAGTAGTTTAACTGCCTTAATTCCCAACATACTATATTCTAAACCTAGTTTTTCCAGTTTCCTCGTGCTCTTATTTCTACCTGACAGTGTCACAGAATTGTGCTGCCTCCAACAAAACAAATACAACTATCTAGCTTTTCTTCTGCCATGCCACTTCTCCATAACTTATTTCCTTATTTGCTGACCAGGATATATTTTGACCTAATTATCTCCATGTAAGGAAACCATACCTTCTAAACCTGTCAATTAAAAAAAGTGTTTCTGGGTATTTTCCCACAAAAGTTACATGGTAGGCCCTAAATTAGTATTAGGTAAAAATTAGCTCAGAATTGCCCTGTGATAACACCCATTAAATTACTTGACCATGAAAATGTATACATATAACAAATGACTTTCTTCCTTTTTTATTTTTAGAGAATTTTTGCTATAGGGCATATGTGCTTGCCGGAGAGACAGAGACAGAAAGTGAGAAATCACCCCCCACCCCATGGGTAATGGCCACGCTACAGTCTCTTCTCTTCCAATCTACTCTTGGGATTTGGGGCATGTTCACACATGCATCCAGGGTAAAAGCACATGTGCCTGGTGAGGGTCAGGCCCAGGACTCAAACCATGGTTGACCATTTGAGAGTTCAGTGCCTTAACTACTATGCCACCTTCTGGCTCCCCTAAATACCTTTCTGCCAAGGAAATAAGAAGCATGTTAGGTGCATATTAGTCTTTCCCTTCCATCATTTGATACTGTGTTAAATCCATCCAGAAACCTAGATTGTCCTCGGGTATCAGTGCTTCAGTTTTTCTTTTGGTCTCTATACACTCTCTCCTACACACACAAAAATATCACTCCTATACACATAGAACAGCACTCATTTTGAATCAGTAGCTAATATTGTTGTACATATCACTTCAGGGCCCATATGCGTATCATAATATGGACCAGGTTTTCTCATTTAATCTGCTAATTTTTAGTGAGGACTTGGGTAGTAGTGAATTAAAACATAGCTTTAAATTTTGTTTAGTTTTGGTTTCATTTTTATTGCTTGTATTTGGTTTCATTCTGTAGAGGAAAGACCAAGTGTATTATAACTAAATTATTTGACTGGCTATAACTTTATAAAAAATACTTAGATCTGTGGTAGGATGCTTTGACTTATAATGATGAAACTGAGAAAAGAATTGGCTTATGAAATTGACCCTTAAAGATCATGAGTATCAGTAATAATTGAGGGGTTCTAAATAGGTATGAAATTTTAGAATGCTGTTAACCGACCATTTTTAAGAGCTGCATGTTTGTTAAAAGTAAGAAAAGTATTCATAACCATATGCTAGTTGAAATGTTTTTCAAATAGAGACTAAATTATGATAACATAATCTCAACCTTTTTATATTTTACTTATTTATTTTTATTTTTAGTTTCAGTCTGATGGCAGCAAACAAGAAGATAAAGAGAAAACGGTAAGAGGCTAGAAAAATCCAATAATGTATCTAATGTAAGTCTAGGTACAACATTTTACTGTTAACAGCTTTAATCGCCTGTGTGAATAATTATTTTAGACTCTCCATGCGGAATATAGCTTTTGACAGCTCATAGAAAATAATATTTTAAGATTGACATCTTTTTTTCTTTTTGGAAGATTATCTTATTTAGAAAGGAAGGAGGGATTAAAGTCCCTCATTCCCTTGCTATACCTTTCTTTCCCTCACCCCATTTGCTGTTTTAGATGGAGAAACATAAAGAAGCACTGGGAAAAGAACAGTGGTAGGGCGGGGAATTAGATATTGTGCTTTATGAGATCAAGAAATGGCAATTTTCCTAAGGCTATCATAGTTAATTTCAGGGTGAGTTGATACGGACCTCTTTCTTTAAATAATTTTTTTCTCCTTTCTTCTTAGGAAGTTATCCTTAGCTGTTTGCTTAGCATTACTGACCAGGTACTACTTCCATCTCTTTCTTTGATGGACTGCAATGCTTGTATGTCTGAGGAACTGTGGGGAATGTTTAAAACATTTCCATATCAGCATAGGTAAATACATATTTTTTTCATCCTTTCAACTAGTAGTAATTCTAGTGTATTAATCTCTAAGTATTTAATTTTTCCTAATTCTTCATCTCATCATTTTTTAAGATACCGTCTATATGGCCAGTGGAAGAATGAAACTTATAACAGTCACCCACTTTTAGTAAAAGTTAAAGCTCAAACAATAGACAGAGCCAAATATATCATGAAGTAAGTTTAATTTATTTTTCTTCATATTAATCTAAATTCTATCTGGATCTAATTTACTTTCTTTCAGGTTAGCCTATTTCTGAGCCTTAGCCTCAATTTAGAGAAAGCCCATAAATATTTGTTATTGATACAGTTGATTTTCTACTGCAGGTAGAAACACTATCAATTTTTGTGGCTTTACATTATTTTGAGTACTTGGTTCATGTTTTCATCATTAAATGTCGTGTTTCAGTAGGTATAAAATGCAATAAAAATTCTCTTTACTGCACTATATTGTAGGATGAGATTTTTTTAAAAGATATCCCACTGTTGCCTTTGTTCAATTTGCATAAAACTTTAATGGTTTGTGTAAGTAAGTTGGTCAAAGTTCTAGGAATTTCTTCTTCTGAAAGTCATCATAATAAAGATTTAAAAAAAATTCTTTTGGATTGAGTGTTTGTTGTTTTCTTTTCTTTTCTTTTCTTTTCTTTTCTTTTTCTTTTTTTTTTTTCCCCCTATAGGGTACCTGTGCTTGCCAGAGATAGAGAAAGAGAAGGCAAGTAAGAAAATACCCTCATGGGGGATGGCCACATGGCCATCCTTTCTCCATTTCTCCTTTCTGGATTTTGTGCACACACACACACACACACACACACACACACTTGGCATGTTTTTCAAGCCACCAGGTCTGGAACTTGAACTGCACAGTCGGCCACATGGGATCTAGTTGCCTTAAATACCATGATTAGGTGGCCTAATAATTTTTTTTTTTATCCATTAGGAGGATTTAATGGGATTAGGCACAGCTATCTCTCTGTGGCATTAACTTTTGAGAAATTTCTATTTTTTTCCACTGGTGTGCTTTTAATTTTCATATCGTTAAAAACCTAAGACTGATGTTAGTTCTACTCCCAGGTAGACTATTTAAAGTATAATTATGAAAATCATATACTTCAGTTTAGATATGAAATAGACTGCCCTGTTGCAAGTGTTTTTAAGACATTATCATTCCTTGTTGTCAATTGTCATTCCTTTTATTAATTATTAATTCATGCAGTGGTATGATTATTCTAATTAAAAGTAATATATCCTTTATGCCATGAAACTATTTCATCCAGTGTTACTGTCTCTGATCATAGACTACCAGGAAAAAGATGTGTGCACTTCTGAATCTGGTTTAATAGGTGCCATTACACAGTTTGTATGTAGTGTTGTGGGACAGCAGTTAAGAGAGTAGATTATTTCACCTGGGGAAATTATGGAAGAAGGTGATATTAGAAGTGATCTACCTGGGACCAGCAGTTAGCGTAATGACTATGTCGCTGGACTCCCATGTAGCTGACCACTGTTCGAGTCCCAGACCTGGTAGCTTAAACTCATACCAGGCGCATGCGTGCGTGCTCAAGATCCCAAGACGAAAATGGAGGAGAAGGGATTGTGGTGTGACCATCCCCCCTGGGGGGGTGATTTCTTGCTTTCTGTCTTTCTGGTGAGCGCACACATCCTATAACAAAAGCCTCTCCAAAAAAAAAAAGAAGTGATCATTTACCTAAAATTTTCAGGTCTTTAGAGTTCTACGGGTAGTTTCTTTATTTTTAAATTTATTTTAAAGAATTATTTTTATTTAAATTTATTTATTTATTTATGTATTTGACCAGAGAGGGACAGAATGAGTGAGTGAGAGAGAGAAAGTAAGAAAGCAAGCTGCCAGGTCCTGGACTTGAACTGCGATCAGCCATGTGGGAATCCAGAGCCCTTAACCACCACACCATCTGCCAGTCCTCTACAGGTAGTTTCTAGCTTAACAATAGCAGGTAGTACTTATAGAGCCAGCAGTATGTGTGACAAACACTTGCGTTAATATTAAATCCCTTGCACTCATGTCATTCACTCTTCTCTATTATCACACTACTTTACACACTACTTTACTTCTTTTATTCTAGATTATTACAGTGCCTTGTACAGGGGACTTCCAAAAGTTCATAGGGACCAACCATCTGTAGCATGGTGGTTTAGGTGGCTGGATCCCATAAGGCCAACTGTGTGGTTTGAGCTTCAGACTCAGTGGCTTGAGAAACACTTGGGTGTGCATGCCCAAAGTACCAAAACGGAGAAATGGAGAAGGGACTGTGGTTTGACTTTCCCCAATGGGGAGTGCTTTCTCACTCCTTCTTCCCCTCTCTGCTCCCCCGTCCTCTCTCTGGTGAGTGCTCATAGTCTCTGTCATGTTTTTTTAACAAGTGAAAAAAGATGGAAAATATATGTTATGAAAAAACTATGCATGGATTTAAAAAAATTTTGTACAAAACAAACTAATTCTATTTTCAGTGAAATTTTCAAAGTCCCTTCTATTATTCTTTTCAAAATCATTTGGTGACTGACCATTGCCAGTAGTTTATATGTCAAGCTTTGTGGTATGGTGAGGTTAAAAACAAACAGAAAACAACAACAAAAAAACCCTAGACTTTCCTTGATCTGTCCTTTTCTACAGCCAGCCTCATTCCCTGCTAATTCTGCCTCCAGATGTACTGAGCGTATTTATGTTTCCCCAAATGTCTTGCTTGTATCTCTTCCTTTGGCATATATTTTTTATTTCCTCTTTATGTACAGGTTTTCCCTTCTTTTACCCCTTCCCATCTGGTGACCTTATCCTTGGAGAGTGAGCTCCACGTGTCACATCTGCAAAATCTCTTCTTACACGTACTGCCAAGCACAACTGATTATTTTTTTATTTGTACCACCATTATCTCTTATGCATATAATGCTGTTATAACACTTAGGTACATTGCTATGCATGTTTTCCTTTTTTAATTATCTGATTTTTTGAACAATTTATATGTTCACCTGGTTTAAATTGCAGTAAATAGAAAGAAGTGTAAATTCCACATATAAGTGAGTTCATGTTGTTCTTTTTTTTTTTTTCTGTGCCTAGCATATTTCACTTGGCATAATATCTGCCAGTTTCATCTGCGTTTTTGTGAATGACAGAATTTCATTACTTTTCAAGTCTGTTATATAGTAGAAAGGGAGTTACCAGAGGCTGGGAGGGAAGTGGTAGGAGGAGGGGTAGGGAAATGGAAGATGTTAATCAAAAACATTTAGTTCAATTGAAGGAATAAGCTTTAGTGATCTATTGTGCTGCATGGGGGCCACAGTTAATAATAATGTATAGTGAAAAATTACTGAAAGAACTTTTCTTTTTTAACTCAACACAGAAATGATAGGAATAGTGGTTACATCACTGAACTCCCACATGACCAACCGCGGTTTGAGTCCTGGACCTGGTGGGTTGAAACTCACACCAGGCACATGTGCATGCATGCCCAAAAAAATCCCAAGAGGAGAAGGAATTGCGGTGTGGCCACTCCCTCTGGGGGGTGATTTCTCACTTTCTGTCTCTGTCTCTCCAGCGAGTACACACACCCTATACTAAAAGTCTCTCTTGAAAAAAAGAGCTAATGTGATGGATATGTTAATTAGCTTGATTGACTCTATAATGTATACATAAATCAAAACATTACATGCCTCATAAATACATACAATTAAAGAAGTGTGTATGTATAGTAAAACGTTTGTCATCCCCATTCTCTGTCCACCCACTTTACCCAAAGAAATAAATGTAGCTACTGTTTACTTTCTTATATATCCTTCTAGAAAAAAAATTTTTTTTTGGAGAGGTTTTCGCTATAGGGCGCATGCACTCGCCAGACAGACAGAGAGAGACATAGAGACAGAAAGCGAGAAATCACCCCCCAGGGGGGGATGGTCACGCCGCAATCCCTTCTCCTCCATTCTCCTCTTGGGATCTTGGGCACACATGCACGCGTGCCTGGCGTGAGTTTTAAGCCACTGGGTCCGGGACGCGAACCACGGTCGACTACGTGGGAGTCCAGCGACATAGCCATTACTCTAACTGCTGGTTCCCATCCTTGTAAAAATTTTTATGTTTATATAAGCTAATGCAAATATCTCACCCCTTTTTCATATTATTTATAGCATAGCATATGATAAGTACAATTGTGAACTTTTTAATTTTTGTTTAAGAATCTAGAAATTTGCAGGGCTGGCAGGTGGTGTGGATAAGGGCGCTGGACTCCCACATGACTGACTGTGGTTCGAGTCCCAGACCTGGTGGCTTGCTTTCTCACTCCCCCTTTGTCTTTCTCTCTCTCTCACCTTCTCCCTCTCTGGTCAAATTAAAATAATAATATAAAAAAAAGTTAAATATTAAAAAAAAGAATCTAAAAATGTGTGGCCAATAGCAAATTAAAAATAATAAATAAAAATTTTAAGAAATAGAGAAGTTTAGAAAATATTTTTGAATGTCTCCCTAGCTGGACCAAACTTGAGAGCAGAAACTTTTATTCATCCTTCTATTCCTACTGCTTAACACTTTTCCTGTCATAGTAGATATTAATATTAGTGAATGAATAAATGAAGAAAAAATAAAATTTACAGAACAGCAGTATGCACAGAATTTTTAATATACATGGATATTATACATTATATTTATAAACCAAAACTATTTCACCACGCTTGAACAATATTATTTTGATATTGCTTGCACCTTTTACTTTGAGAATGGAATACATTAATTTATTTCTTATAGAATTTCACAGATTTTGAATACTGTATAAAACATACGCTTATGGGATCAGCAATTGGCGTAATGGCTATGTCTTTGGACTCCCATGACTGTGGTTCGAGTCCTGGACCCAGAGGCTTAAACTCATGCCGGGTACATGTGTGTGCACACCCAAGATTCCGAGAAGAAAATGGAGGAGAAGGGATTCGGGTATGGTATCCTCCCGGGGGTGATTTCTCACTTTGTCTTTCTGTCTGTCTCTGTCTTTCTGGCGAGTGAATGCTCCCTATAGCAAAAACCTCTCTAAAAAAAAAATACAATAAAACATGCGCTTACTATAGGGCATTCAAAAATTCATTCTACAAATGCTTATTTTGTTTTTTAAAAATTATTATCATGATAATCTTGTTTATATTACATTGAATCACACATAACTTAACAGTGTATTACATTGCTTTTTCAAAAGGGAATGCCATGCATGTCAGTCAATACAGAGACATTAAAATCCCCACTTCATCATTCAATATCTTTTCATTGTTTTTCTCAATCATTATTATTATTCCAATTATTTTTTTAACCAGTCAATCACTATTTCTCATTTTGCTTATAAAAAGACTTTACCCATCATGAAATACTTCTCAGATCAATCCAGTTGAGAATACTATACATGTCATCAACAGGTAATAAATCATATCTGTGTCCCACTAATGTCATGCCTCTCTATTTGTTCTCTTGCTATCTTTCTCTATCCTCTTCTATTCACCCCCCCGCCCCATTCCACACTGTCTTATCCTTGTTATGTATTTTCACTGCTTTTATGTCCTCCAATATTTTGCTCTCTACCATAGAGTGCGTATAGTAGGTATATATTAAGTGGATACATACAATATCTTTCTTTCATAGCCTGGCTTAGTTCACTCAGCAATAGATCCTCCATATCTGACCACTTTCTATCAAATGCCAGGGTCTTGTTGTTGTTGTTGTTGTTGTTTTTATGGCTGAGTAGTATTCCATAGAGTACATATGCCACACTTTTCCAATCCATTCATCAGTTTTTGTACATTTAGGTTGGTTCCATGTCCTAGCAATCGTGAATAATGCTGCAATAAACATTGATGTCATTGATTGTGTTGTATACGCCAAACACCATGGTAGCTTGAGAGAAGAACATAATAAAATATTCCTTTAATACTTTTCCCCCTCCAGGGTGGTGAAGGCAGAAGGGATGGAATAAAAAGCAGAGGAGGAGGGGTTAGCTTTGGCAAGTAAGGTTAAAAGTAGGGATAGATGACGATAAGTTAGAATAACTTACAATTTGAGGTGTCCTTATTTGAAATGCTTGTGACCAGAGTGTTTCAGATTTCACATTTTCCCCCAATTTTAGGATACTTGCATACAGATAGTGAGATACCTTGGAGATGAGAGCCAATTTGTATTTAAATTTTTATTTTTTATAAGTGCTAGCAGGCACTGTGTGTACCCAAGGGAGAGACAGAGATGGGGTGGGAGGAAGAGGAGGGAGCACTCTTCTAGTAGAACATGTTCACACTGCAGTTCTTTCTCTTCTGTTTTCTCCATCTTGTTAGGATTTTGAGCATGTAGTCATATGTACCCAGTATATTCTTCAAGCCACTGGGACCCCAAGTGTTTAACTACAGTTGGCCATGTGAGAGTCAACTTCCTTAACCACTATGCTATGAGACTTGCCTGAAAGCCAAATCTAAGCATGAAATTCTTTTATGTTTCATATGCATATATCTAGAAGGTATTTTATACAGTATTTTTGTAGTTGTGTAGTGTAACCGCTGTCTCATGAGATCATATGTGGAATTTTCTGCTGATAGCATCATGTCAATGCTTATGGTCAAGGTTTAAAACTAATGGTCTTTCTTTTCCATCATGGGGGTAAGGAGGGAAGAAGAAAAGAGAAAGAAACAAACTAACTAGGCCATGGAGAACGGGAAGATGATGAAATAATGACAATGAAATAATATTGATTGTTGGGTCAGTTTTGTCCTAAGAACCTTCTTAAGATAATTATATTAAGTTTGTCACTTTGAGTATGGTCATATTTCCTGAATCATAAAATGAGCTTATAATTTACTTCATTCTTTTTGTTCTAGAAAAGTTCTTTCCTAATACAACCTTTTCATGTTTGTAGTTTTTAAATTCATGATATAATAATCTCATTAGAAGAGTTTATTATTCTGTATAATAAATGTCTTGAAATGTAAGAGTTTTATAGATATGAATTTACAGAGTGATGGTAAAAGAATGCTGAAGCAGGGGAAGAAATAAAGAAGGAAACGAGTAGCATTTATTTAAAGAAAATATTTTGAGTCAGCTGGTAGTGTGGTGGTTAAGGCAGTTGGATTCCATATGATTGACTGCGGTTCAAGTGCCAGACCCAGCGGCTTGAAAAACATGCCGAGTATGTGTGCATGCGTGCTCAAAATCTTGAAATGAGGGAGAAATGGAGGAGATAGAATTGCAGCATGACCGTCCCCTATGGGGGTACTTTCTCACATTCTTGCTCTCTCTTTCTCACTCCCTCTCTATGGTGAGTGTGTACACTCTTTGGAAAAATTTTTTAAAAAGTTGTTTTGAGTGTGGGGAAAGATATTAAGAAGAAAAATAGAGAGGCAAGACATTTACAGGACACAAATAGATTATTATCTGTTAATAACATGTATAGTATCCTCAACTGGACTGGTGTGAAGTGTATTCATGTTGGGAAAATTCACTTTACAAGCTAAGTGATGTATAGTGATGTAATGCATAAAATAAATTAAAATATATTAAGGGAAAAAAAGGCAGGAAGTTAACATATCGAGGAATGCAGCATTAGCTGTTACTCTGTTAAGGTCACTGAACCAGATGGCATGAGGCATTTTAATCCCTAAACTGATAAACAAGTCCTTCTAAATCTAAAATAATTATGATTTTCTATAGGAAGAGTTTTATGTACTTATAGAGCACATCAAGAGTTTTGGTGCCTATTAGAATATTTCTATAAAATGGAAATGTGGATTTTATAAGTGGTAATCAGTTCATATAAAGTCTGAATACCCTATGGAATAATTTTTAACTAAAATAGCCTAGTATGTGATGAATGCAGGTGTTTACATAGATCCACTTTGGGTATTTGGAAATTTTTTTTTCATGGTAGCAAAGCTTTTAACTTTATGAGGAATTAAGTTACTTAAGATGATTCCTGCCATCTTTTTCTTCCCTTGTAGGCGTCTAACCAAGGAAAATGTGAAACCTTCTGGAAGACAAATTGGGAAATTGAGCCACAGCTAGCCAACCATTTTGTTTGATTATGTATGTTTTCAGGTTAATATTATTTTAAGGGTTTTTGTTGTTGTTGTCTTTAAGTCAGCATAAATGGAAGTAGAGGATGTAATTTTAAAAGTGTTGGGTAGTTTTATGGGGAAAAACTTTATAAAATGAAACATTGTAAAGTTAATATTAAAAAAATCTTGCAGAATATATTGAGCACGTTGTTCTACTTTTCTAATAACGTATAATATTACTATTATTAACAGTGTAATGTTATCTTGTTTACCATGTTTTGATTTCTATAACTATTTTCTTATCTTAAAGACATTTAAATAGTATTTCATGGTGATTCAGATGTAACACTCTCATTTTAGAAAGAGTTTTATAATATGTGTTTGAAATGAAACTTGCTTATATCATACCAAAATCCAAGTATTGATCCCCAGAAATTATTTTCTAATTGGAAAATATAGACTTAAGGAAATATTCTCTAAGGTAATGGTAGAAGATTTTATAGAAACACAAAATGATAGGAAACCACTTTATTTATAACATTTCTTTTATCTTTTGAAAAATAAGTGTAGCTATCACTTATTTGCACAGTAAATATTCTCTTTTGATTAGTTAATGTCATCTATTCTTTGTTTCTGTCTTCCAGATCTTGTCACAAATACAGAAATATGATAACTTAATAACACCTGTAGTAGATTCATTGAAATACCTCACGTCATTGAATTATGATGTCTTGGCCTGTATCCTTTCAAGAGAGGCATTGTATAAATTTCATATTTCATAGATTTTTTTGAGAGGTTTTTGCTATAGGGCATATGCATTCTCCAGAAAGAGAGGGACAGGGAGACAGAAAACGAGAATTAAATTTACCAAACATCATAATACAGGTGTATTTTATCTTGCTTACTGAAAGATGGAGAGGCTAAAGAAAGGAAAGATGGTTCTTTGATAACTGTATTTTAAAAGATAATTTGTAATAACTCAAAGCACTTTAATTTTTTCCAAGATGTGGCATATTATTGTTTTAATTGTGTTTGTTAGAGATGTAGTAACTCAAACATTTTTCTTAATGTATGAAAGATTGTATCATTGAAGCTTTAGCTAATCCAGAAAAGGAGAGAATGAAACATGATGACACAACCATATCAAGCTGGCTTCAGAGTAAGTATTTTTATTTTCATTACACAATTACTCTATGTATTATTAAGTGCCATGTTACATGTTCTGTTGCCTATCTTGGAGACTTTTTTTTGGATTAGCTA